GGGGGGGGGGGGGGGGGGGGGGCGGTCACGTCAGGGCCTCACCGTGTCTGCGAACTCCACCCCCAGGCTGACGGAGGGGGAGGGGAGCAGGGCGGCTGCTTCGTCCAGGAGGCTGGGGGGGTCCTGGGAGAGAAAAGACCCGTGAGCTGAGACCACCCCCGATCCCCAGGGTACTCCCATCCCCCACCCCAGGGCATCCAGTGCAGACCAACCCCCCCTTAATAGATCCCCTCCCCCGCCCTACCTCTGATGCCTCTGCAGCTGTAGGCTCCTCCCCTCCAGGGGAAGCCCCGCCCAGCAGGGTGGAGTCAGGGCTCAGCTGGGCTCCCAGCCTCAGGATGTCATCAGCGGAGGAGGGATCCTCTGGTGGGGAGTCCTCCCGGATGGGGCCCGGCTGCCCGGATCGGGGCCTTGAGTCCTCCCGGATCGGCACTGCGGGAGATGGAGATTACGTAGCGCGGCAGCAGGGGGCAGGGCCGGGCGCTGGGCAGGGGGCGCTCTCCCCTGGCAAGCAGGGCTCGGTGCTGGAGGGGGGCCACGCTGGGGGGGGCTCGGCGCTGGGGGTGAGGGCCGCGCTGTGAGGGGCTCAGCGCTGGGGGGGGGGGGCGGGGCACTGGCGGGGGGGAGGGGGTGCACTTACCGTCCAGTCGGAGGCAGGCCCAGTATCTGCGGTGCTCGGCGCTCGCCCGGGCCAGCGAGTGCAGGGCGCTGGGGTGTGGAGCTCGCAGGCGCCCCAGCTCGGGCAGCGGGTCCCCCAGCAGGGTCCGGGTGCACATGGTCATGGACTCGGAGATCGACACCAAGTTGTAGCCTCCCTGAAGGGGGGAGAAGAGAGCTGGGTTTGGCGGCGTCCGTCTGTCCAGCCCCACCCTCGGCACAGCACCAAGAGCCACCGGGCCTTGTCCCCGGGCACATCCCCGCCCTGCCCGGAGCTGGGCTGGCGTCTCCAAGCCCTCAATCGCGACCGGGAGCCACCGAAGTCAGGGGCGAATCGCTTGGAACTGGCCGGCAAAACGGGCGGCAGGAAAACCCAGCTCGGCCAAGAACAGGGACTCGGCAGGTTGCCGCGGGGCACCCAGCACGGGCCGGGATCAGCCCAACGTCGCCCGGCCCGGCACCGGCAGCACCTCCCTGCCTGGTGTCTCGTCGGCTCAGCCCAGGCCAGACACAGCTCCCGGCCATACAGAGAGGAGAAAACCGCGTATTCAACACGGGATCACTTCGCGAGTCCTGTTCAATTAATACTTATTAAAGTGGATATTTACTATTAAATTATAGCACATAGCTAACTACCTTATTAATAAATTTAATATATAATGTTAAATCACATTAAATTTCACTTATCTATAATATACAGTAACAATAGTAACGTTAAACATTCTATTGTTATTTCATACATCGTAGTTTTTCTATTTACTATAAAATATACATAGTAAATGTATTACAAATCTAGAACGGATATTAACTTTAACAGAGCTATCTTGTTTAGTACACAAGATATAATTCAGCGGTTATATTGTTTTATTCAGTATATATTATATATTAGCTAAAATGATATAGTACAATTTATCTTTACTACAATTAATATTAGATCTCTATTTGATATACAATCAGTATTAGACATAACGATTTCATGTATCTCACCACATTCTATAATCACAGATTTAATATATTAAATACATATGTGACTGAGTCTATTCAATCTTAAAAATAAGACCGTAAAATTGATATTTAATACATTATTAAAATAGAGATTTATATACTTTATAGTAAATAAAATATATTTAATATTAAGTATATTAAGTATCTAGGATATATTTAATTTATTATTGTTCAAGTTTATCGCAAAGAAAAATTCTTTTAATGATCATTTTGTTCACGTTTAAATATAATAAAAGGATTTCTCAAATACGTACTATTAGATTATTAATCATAACATTCAATA